TTCATTCTAGAATGAACACAAAAACATAAATGTTTAGAAAAAATAGACTTAAATCTCATAACATTATACATTTATATATATATATTTATTATTTTTATTATATTGACCTTTCACCCGTGCCTGGCTAACAACACAGAAGTTACAACAATGTGGCACTCATGTTACCATATCAAATAACATAAAGGTGACTTGTAACTTGTCTTGGCTGTGTTTTAGTCAACTAGTATTTTGTAAAATACAGTCACATTTCAATTATTATACATTATATATGTATATAGATTATTCCTATTTTGAAATAAGTTTTTAGTTATTTTTCCTAAAACATAGAACAGTAAATAAAGAAGTAAAGCAAACAATTATCTCTTCTAGTTTTGAGTTTATTGACATAAATTCATGAAATAGTAGTTCAATGAAATGTTGAAGGTGAGTCAACAAACGAGATGACATGGCCTGCCATCTGTGACCCGTCTCGAAAGGGTTAAAGATGTCTGATTCTGGCACTCAAATGACTTCCAGGTCTTCCATTTACAATGCCAAAACACTATGCTGCAGTGACACAAGCACAACTGAAGTGCCAGGATTCTTTCATCACTTCTGTGGGTTGCCATGCACAGCAAACGTGTAATTGATAGAATTAAATTCCAGGTAAGGTAAGCTGCAGAAGTATACCCTTCCTTGGAATGTCCCCTCACCATGAACAGAAATCTAGATTATACATCTAGAGATAGTGACTTTCACCAAAAATAAATCTTAAATTGTATTTTCATGCATCTATTGTTTGAACTGGATAATTTGATTTCTCCAGATAATGCGATACAAATTATGTGTAGTCAAATGGTTCAATATAAAGTATGAAGTTACTAAAACAAAAATTTTAAATCAGATCCCATATGCAGAATAGTTCCTTAATTTACAAAGTTATGTTATGCATGTATAATGATTAATACTAGCACTTGTGAATCCATATCAAATAAATATATTTGAGCCATTTTTAAAACATTGCCATTTAACAATTCTGTGGCAGACAGAGCTTGGTCACAATCTAAACTAGGTTATTATGAATAAAATGATATATAAGTTATCATACACTGATTAAATTAAGTTCTTACAGAACAGTGTGCAATGTTTAAGAATTTCTACACATAACAAAATTACTGATCAACTATGAAGTGAAATATTTGATGTGCTTTATATATTTTTGGCACCTCTTTATTCATGAACACTGTCTTTCTTTTAAAAGTATAGTGTTTTAAAGGCTAAAATTTTAACAGAAATTTTTCTTACCTTGGTTGAGCATTTCTCACAAACAAGTCTTTCACATAATTTACACTTGACTCCCCATGACCCAAAAAATGAAAACCTGGTCTTCTTACATGTAAAACAGATCTGGAGAAAAATAAAAAAAATATAATGTCAAATAAACTAAAAACGCAGCATTGCTAAAAAGTGCACAGTAATTTCTTAAAACAGCACCAAGCTCATTGAACAATTCTATGGTTTGCTGCTATTCTATGCTGCCATCATCAGAAGCTACAAGTTAACAGAAAAAGAGAATATACAACTCAATATAGATGTACATACCTTGATACAACACATTATAAATTATTATATTCTGTTTGTGTAGAAACATGCTTTGTTTGTTTGTTTTGAATTTTGTGCAAAGCTACACGAGGGCTATCTGCACTAGCCATTCCTAATTTAACAGTGAAAGACTAGAGGGAAGGCAGCTAGTCATCACCATCCACTGCCAATGCTTGGGCTACTCTTTTACCAATGAACAGTGGGATTGACCATTACATTATAATGCTCCCATGCTGAAAGAGCGGGCATGTTTGGTGGTATGAACATTCAAACCCGCGACCCTCAGATTATGGGTTGAGTGCCCTAACCACCTGGCTATGCTGGGCCTAAGAAACATGCAGGTTGTCAAGTAATCTGTACTCCTTGTTTTAAGTTACATACTTTTACCAGTGGATTAAAAGATTCAGTAGAAGAAGATAAATGTGGTATTTATAACATTCTGTTTAACTTTGGCTTAGTATATTTTGGACAAATGTAAATGAATTTAAAATGTAAACTAAAACGAACACAAAACTACAACAGAGGAACAAAAAGTTTAAGAATATGCATCAGCTGAACATGTAGCAAACTCAGCTAATTTTATGGATTGAAAAAAATTTCAAACTTGTTAAACATTTTGATTATAAGGACAAATTAAATATCACAGAAACTGTTAAAAATAAAAACATTATTTTGAAATGTGGACTCTGGTCCAAGTGTAATGAAAATGGTCTTGTAACATTGGTGGCACACAGGTGGTCAAGGTTTTTTATTCTGTGTTGTACCTATGTATGTACATCTGTATGGAGGTATATAAACTTCTCACTTACTGTTAATCTGCAGATCCTCTTGATATTGGTGGGGAAGAATACTGCTAAAACAAGTACAGTTGTCCAATGAACTTGTTGCCATTTTAATACATTACTGTGCACTATTTAACCTTGTGGCATTTTTAGTTATTTATCATATTCATAAATTCTGTCTTTTACTATACTTAACATAATGGAATTTCTCTTTCTTTAGCAGGCAAAAAAAAAGTTTTAAAATGAGTGTCAAGTTATATATTTTAATGCACAAAAATTTTCATCAATGATTTCTAATCAGTAGAGTGAAAAATGTAGGAAAGAATTTATTCTTACTGTTTCTTAAGCTCATTACATAACACATTGTTAGTTTTATTTTACTCACTTAAGTTTTTTTTTCCACTTCAATTAAAAACAGCTATATTTTTCTCAATGTAAAAAAAAAGATAATGTTTTATTTCAAGTTATCAATTTTTCTTTTGTTCTTTATCATCATACAATATAAGTTGTTTTTGAAGTATTTCCCTCTTTTTTCTTCATCAAGAAAGACAACTCAGATTTTATAATATACATATTTTCCATTATGAGATATCATTATTAGATTTTAAAATACTTACTTTTCCTTTTTCTACTTCATTGTGCAGTTCTTTATCAACCAACAAGGACTCTAACTCAGCCTTAGTGAGAACATTTCTAATGTGTACTATTTCTTCTAGTGTCAAAGATAGGCATTCCAATGATTTACCCAACTGAGACTGAGAAAAAAAAAAGCAATTTTGACACTCACTGAACAAAATCATGTCACTCAAATGTTTTTAAAATTGTAAATTTCTTACATTGTGATATACTGACAACAAACGCAGTAACAGACCTTTGTAAGCGCATTTTTTTTATCAGTTAACCCAAAGTACATGCATGCTAGAATATACTATTATTTTCATAAATTTTCCTCTCTGTGTTTTTTATACATTAACTAAAGCAATAGATTTTGAAAAAATACAAAATTATAATATCAGATTATTTGACTTATGTTATTGCTTTGTTTCTCTATCTTTCTTAAAAGATGTTTACTAAAAGGAGCAACACTAAAAGATGAAACTATATTTTCATTTTGAATTACATTATTTCAAAGTAAATATATTAGGAATATATAAACAAAAATATTTATTATTCTTTTCTTCTCATTATGTTTAATAATTATTTATGTGGCAAGAAGTTTTAATTATTAAAACATTAAAATGTAACTTACAGCTTTCCAGTACTCTGCAATGACGCTGGTCGAGTCCAAGTAGGTTTTGTTACTGTGACCATTAGCCAGTGTATTATTTCGTTGTGAAGAAGATTGTCCTTTAGAATGGCTAGGAAACTGTTCAGAGGGAGATTCGCATACAGAAATACTGTGTCTCCGTTCAGATGTAAAATCTGTGCTGTATTTTGCTAAGTCAAGGGCCACTGAGTATTGAGTAAATAATGAGTATAAGTAATGAAATCAATTAGACATACAAAAATATAAATTCTTTATGTCTTATACCTTAACAATATGTAACCATATCTTTTAAATTTTATCCTAATAACAGTTAATTACTTATGATGATCTTTCTTGTTGTGTAATGAAACATTATTAACTTGATGCAAAACAAATTAATATTGAAATAAGATCACAAACTGTGAAGCTGAGGATGCAGAAAATGTTATCCTCAACACACAGACATTGCTGTTAAACAAAATACTTTTGATTATGACTACATAATAATCAATTTTCCCATTATTAACATCCTATTTATGTTATCTGTTCTTTTCCTTCCAGTGGTTAGGAAAGATTGTCATACACTTCTTGCATGTTTTTTTAACACTCATTTTCTATGTGCTTATGGCCCAATCGGTAAACATAATACTCAATATTAATCATAAACAACATAAATTTGCTTATTATTGTGCTACAATAAATTCTACTCAATGTAAAAGCAGTTATAGATTAATGAAATACAAAGCAGCTGTATGTGATTTCTATGTAGGAAGTAAACTTCTCACACATCTTTTGTTTCTTATTAGTTGTCAACCTCAAGATGAAATGATAAGAAGATTAATATTTGTGCTCAATTTCAGACTATTTCACTTTAGGACTTTTAAAAAAATATAAAAAACATACAAAATGTTCACAAAATTGTTTTAACAGCAATGCCACCCAATAAACAACTTAATTACAGCATGAAAAACACGTTATAGATTAGAGTTGAATGGCTTTGTTAAAATAAAAAGTCAAAAATCCAATCACTCACAATGCAACTGACACCTAACAATAGTTGAATGCAAACTGATTGTGAGACTACACTTTACTGGTTGAGTTACAGTGTGCTATAATCATCTTTTTACTAATAGTAACTGAAATGAAATTGAACCCTATATTCACACTTGCTTCTCCTATACATATTCTTAGTTTTCTGTTTCCTCAATAAATTTCTCCGGCAGTTTAGAATAATATATATTAACAGAAGAAGGCTAAAGATCAATCTTTATTAGCTTACAATCTTTTGAAACTTACTAGTTTGCCAAGGAGATCTTTCTTTTGTAAACTTGGACTCAGTTACTGGAAGTGATTGGGGCTGTTCATCCACAGGACTTGGAGGTAAATCTTCATCTCCATCATCATCCTGAAATAATTAAAAAAGTGTCCATTCATCTAGGAACCTCACTTTACATAAAATACCAGACATTATTTATATACAATAACATTCATAATCATTACAATAAGAAGACAAACTCAACTATACTTGGAAAGACCCTCAATCTGACTAGAATTTTATATAAAAAATCATTTCAAAAAGAAACGGAGCAATTGTAACCATTATAATCACATCTTACGAGAATCTAAATAAACTACTTTGAAGACTATGAATACATAAACAGTTTTAACTGACAAAAGTTGCGTTTCCTTAATTCAGATACTTTGATCTTTTATTTTCAAATGATTCATGAGAAAGACTGAAAGGTTCCCTTCAAAAGTATGTAAGTACTCTTACCATAAGAGGTAGAGTGTATATATATGTCATTTGTACAGAAATACTTCAAAGACATAAAACAAAAAAGTAAAAAAACTAACTTTATGCATGTTTTGATATTAATAAAAATCTATACATTTTGCTTAAAAAGTCAAAGGAATACAAGAATTTACTTTACTTATGAATGTCTCACCGTATTTACTCATTATTGAGACTGTAAAGTTACTAAGAAATTCATTTTTCTTTGTTTAAATGGCCACATATTAATATTTAAATGAATCTTTCTAAGGTTAATAAAGATGAAATATTAGAGATGAATTAATTTTACAAAGGTAAGACTTGTTTGTAAATATACCTGCAAAACTAACAAGTCCACAAAATTTAAGTAAGACAGCAAACCTAAATTGTAAATCTTTTCACTAGAAACAAGCTAGTTTTTTCTTGATCATTTTCCACTTTCTTACATCCCATTATATAATTATAGTATTTTGGCACTGAGGATGATGTTGTGACGTC